TATATTATTCTCTTTTAATTCAACCTAAAAAAAAAAAAAAAAAAAAAAAAAGATATATAAGTTTATTTTAGAAATATTTCTTATTATTTTATATATAATACGCTTAATGAATTTGCAAAAGAACAAATAGCTTCTTTAACTGATCCATATATAGTATATAATGGAGATGAATGCAAAGCTGTGACACCACTTGATGTAAATAAAATTAATCCTTTTTTTTTTTTTATCATTACTAAAATTAGAAAAAAAAAAAAAAAAAAAAAAATATATATATATATATATTTTTATTAATGAATTTGAATAAATATATATATATATAATGAAACAAAAAAATTTTAATTTATAAAAAATTTTATTACTAGGTAAAACTAATTTTGTCATAAAATATGAAGATAATAAATTGACATTTACTAATTGTTCTATTAGTTCTGTATCCATTTCATGATAATACTACAAAAAAAAAAAAAAAAAAAAAATTAAATAAAATAAAATAAAATAATAATAGATTTTAATAAATATATAAATGTGTTTATTTCCTTTTTATATTGATAATTTTTTTTTTTTTTTTTATACTAATGGATTAGGATAAGAAATTCCAACATTATTAATTAATATTCCAATATCTAAATTTTTTATTTTGTCTTCTATTATTTTATATGAAGAAAAATTGTTTTTATTATAATCAAAAGTTAAGATATCAATATTTCCTTTGTAGTTAGGATTTTTTTCTAATAAATCTTTTTTTATTTTAACTAATTCATTTTCATTTCTACTAATTAATAATAAATTTACATTCTGTTTTATCAAAGAATATGTTAAACTTTTACCAATACCATCAGTACATCCAGTAATTATAACCGTATTGCCATAATTTTTCAAATTTTTTAAACATATTTTAGATTTTAACTACAAAAAGAAAAAAAAAAAAAAAAATAAAATAAATAAATTTATTCGATTAAAATAAAAGAAATTACATAAATACAAAATAATGTAATGTATTAAAAAAAAAAAAATGTAGAAAAGTTTTGAAAGTATAAAATAAAAAAAAAATATCTTACATAATTAAATAACCAATAAAAATAATAAAATGTGTTTTTTAAAACAACTACTAAACCAATACAAAAAACGATTCTAACAAAATATAACCTAAGTAAATTTATCATTTTTTAAAATTTTTCTTTTTCTCTTTTTTTTTTTTTTTTTTTTTAATTTTTAAAACTAATTTCTTAAAGAAGAATAGAAATATATAATAAAATAAAATGTAATAAAATAAAATTTAATATATAGCAATATAATAGAATATAATGTAATAAAATTATAAATGTTAATTTTTTATTCTCATAAAAAATACAAATCTAGGTATGTATTTATATCAAAACTTCAAAAAAAAAAAAAAAAATTTTTAAATAAAATGTTGTTGATGTATGTTTAAAAAAAAAAAAAAAAAAAAAAAAAAAAAACATAAAATAAAATAAAAATAGAGATTAAAAAACAAAAAGAAAAATGAATATATAAAACTTAATTAAAAAAAAATATGTAATCTACACATTAAAAAAAAGTAAAATTAATATTATTTGAATAAATAAATAACTTAATAGTTTAAGAAAAAAATAAAGAATTGACAAATTAAATAAATTAGAACGAAAATTTAGTAAAAGCATACAAATATTGAACCTAAAAAGTGTAAAGTAAAATAAATTATTTTTGAGAGCCTTAAAGAAGAAAAATTAAAAAAAAATTAAATAAAAGGTATTATATCAAAATTTTTACTAAACTTTGTTTTATTTTAGTTAATCAATTTACGAAAAATCACAAATATTTTTAATAAAAATATCTAATTAGGTGTTATATATACATTTAAAAAAAAAAAAAAAAAAAAAAGAAAAAAAACTAAATTTAGTACACATTCTTACAACTTTATATAAAATGGTAAAAAAATAAAAACAAAAACAAAAAAAAAAATTTTTTTTTAGTCTTATATAAAAATATAGTATTTTGTAAAATTTTAAATTATATGTGTTTAATATATCTAATAACATGAGTAAAATATTTTTTTTCATATTTAAAATTATTAGAAAAGTAATATTTTTATTTTATTAGACTTCAATTTAATCTTCTACAAATTTTTTTCCTTTTTTTTTTTTTTTTTTTTATAGTTATTAATAGTATTTCTTTTTTAATTATTTATTTTAATAATTATACTATTGTTGTAATTAATGTTAATACAATTATTAGAGTTACTACATTTTATTTTTTTTTTTTTTTTTACATATTTATATATCAATGTTATTAATGCTTATAATTTCATTTAGCAAATAATCATATAACTCAAAATTTTCATCTTCATCTGAAGGAAGAACTTCAATAGTAACAATATTCGATGTATTTCTTAAATGTTGTTTTTCTTTTTTCTCATTAATATTATCAGAAAGACAAAAACAAGATAAAAAAAAAAAAAAAATGATTCCAGAATGACTTAGCTTCATTTTTTAAAACTTTAATTAAAATACTTTTATTTTTAATTATTAAAAGGTACAATATAAAGTTAATAATTTATATACATAAAACAAAAATAAAAACACAAATTGATAAAGTAAAATTATGAAAATTACAACAAATACATTATTTAAAATATAAAAATATTATATTAATAAAATAAAAAATATTTATTTTAGTATTATTTAAAAAATTCTTTTTTTTTTTTTTTTTTTTTTTTTTTTTA